GTAACCCCCAGCCGCGAATTCGAATCAGAATGTAACTAATCATTTGACGAAATTTCGTGGAGCATTCATGCCTATGGCGACTGTTTCACTCTACAGCCCAGCCTCCACACAGCATCAAGAGACTTTGAAATACAAAGGGTCCGACACGTCTAGCGACAAATACAATCCCTTTGCCAGACAGCGCCTTTCATTTTCTCGTTTTATAAGAAACAGATACTAAGAAACAACGCGCTCAGTCTGAGGAGAGGCCTCGATTTTCGACGCATGACCGCGCTTGTGTACATCAGCGCAGCCCTAAACGCGGATCAATTCTACAACACGTAACATAAACAAACAAAAAAAAAACACAAAAAAAAAATATATATATATATATCACCGCACATTTATAAATAATGTATGGATAAATATGGCCGCCGTCTCGCCCCAAAAGACACAGCCGCATGCATTTGAATTCTGTAGCGCCGGCACCTCGTTTCCATCGACAAGTTAAACAAAACCATCTTGTCATGCCTAAGAAACTAGCTACACTTTCCTGGCTAATTCATCATTTTATGGTTATGAACCTTGATAAATGGATAAAAATTTTGTGTTTGTATCTTAATCACAGATATACCTAGAGGCGTCCTGCTGTCTATTTTCTTTCCCCTCTACGTTTTCATGTTTCTTCTCTAAATATTCACCAGCACGCGTGCACCCCTACTATATTTCTTCATTCCAAAAGAGTTTTCTTTTTGGAATCGTGCAGAACTATTTTGTGAAATCTCTCACATACTCATAGAAATTATGAATAAGCAGTGCAGCATCTTTGTTGTCAGTCACGTGATTAAACCCAAGGTGGACACATAAAAACGATAGGCCTCCTGACTGCTTTTATAAAGGCGAATATTTTTTTTTTTTTTGAAAAATACACGCATTAAAAAGTGACAGCTTCGAAAGTTATGTCTTTCAGTTTATAAACGGTATAAACGACAACTGCAGTTACTAGCGCCACGGGGTTGGAAGCCTAGAACGTCAAACTCTCTCTTCCGGAGGATTACCGACCACGTGTCCTTGACAAGAGCACCTTGCTTGTCCGTCAAGGAGGTACCCATGGACGTGGTGGATGAAAATCTGTAAAAAAACGCATCGGTCTGGAAGCGGTTCGTAAGGCTTCAGGGACGCCCCTCGGAGTGTGCGGAGAGAGTCGAATGAGCGTCCTTCTTGTCACGAACCTTGCCAATCACAGGCGCTAGATCACGAGAGTACGCCACCAGTGGACGGTACAGCAATTCATACGCTTGTGTTTGAAGACAGCCGAGTGTGTCACGCACGCTCACAAGGACGTTGTCTCGTGTAGAGAGCGCGAAACCGTTAGGATACGAACGCGCAATCAGCGATGTTTGAGTCTTAGTATTCATAGAAGTATTCTATGATTATAATGCAATTAAATGCAAAAAATCCCTTCTCCAAGGATTATTTTCGTCAAGTATTCTAGGTGCTAAAGTTTAATGTTTGAAGCAACATTCTAACAAAAGATAAATAAGTATTCGAAGTCATATTTGGGATGACTTTGTTGTGGGTTTAAACAATTTTTGCGACAAAATCGGGAAACACTGGTGTTTCACGATTCTTGCGAGTTTTGGTAAAAGGGACCATGAAATGACCTCTTTACGTTTGCCAAATAACTTTTACGAAAAACTGTCAATGTTCACTGAACGCGGGACAGGTATCCGTTTTCGTTTCGGTTTTTTTATTATTTTATTCGTATATACTGCCAGCATTCACTTTGAACCTCTACACGAAGAATTCATAAAATACTGCGTTTTTCTTCGTCTCCAACTCACCGCAAAACAAGCCGTATCATCATTTTCACGATCGTGGCGTACTCTGGCACCGGAATCGGAAGTTCTCTCGGCAGTATAACAATGGAAGCGCTAGCGACGAGCTGGTGGTGTGCCGGTACGTCTTACCGCAGGGTTTTACTGCGCTGATAACGCCGATGCCACCGACATATTTTCTGAATCGGCGCCTCTCATCACCGCGATAGCCATGGACACATTGCAGCTGAGCGAAATTTAGGTAAATATGTTGCGCTACAACGACAGCATGGGACTGTTCCCATACGCCGGTGCGCCTGTTGGAAATTCCGGCAAGACTTCCAACGAACACTCCTGTTCCTCCTCGGAACTGGATGACAAGGAGTGGCGACTCGAGTGTACGGGATGTTCTGAGCATACACGGACGTCCTTAGACCTGGCGTCCCTCAAACTGATGAGCCTGCACCAAGTGCTTCGACGTGGATCCTCGAGTGGCAAGCGGTGAAACTGCAGCTGCTTCTTTTTAAGCTCGGGACTGCACAAAGTGTAATTCTTGCACTTGCAGCGAGCGCGTTAGCTACGACTGCGTCCGTTGTGACCGGAGAAACTGCTCTGCGCAGTGCGTGCACACTTCTGCAACCACTGCGACAAGCGCAGCAGGTTGTCGGCACGACTGCAACTTCTCCGGCGCCCTTAGCTGTTTTCGCGGCGCCTTTTAAAAGGAAGGGACTCGACGCGCTGCCACTCACTGGCGTAAGAGAAAATTAACAGTGTGTCCTACGAGCTCCAGCTTTCTTCATTTCTATTTTGTCAGGATAGGCCCGCAGGGCAGGGTAGATAAAAAAAGAAAAGAAAAATATGCAGTACGCTGTCTTGGGCGATCGCGACTTTAACACACGACTTTAACGATTGTGAAAATCTCGCCACACGCCTATATTCGACGATAGCAAAATACGATCTAGTTTTTGCAGCAATTTAGCAACGTATAATTATGATTTCTAGATCACATAGACGTTGTGAGAGTTCAGGAATGCTAACACTAATCACTTTTTTTGGGTGATGAAAACGCGTCAAAATTAGCATTCTTCATACACTCCTTTAAATACAGTACACAGCAGTAATACCCTGAACTTGAGCCCGCGCGTGGAATGCGCAAAATAAGAAATCCGGGAGATGTTTGAAGACACAAATGCTCAGAAAGCACCAGTGTAGTCGAAGTAAACATACACGACGACACGAGAGTTTCTGCTTTCTTGAAGATGCCGCCACAAAGTCGCCGCACGAGTACATGGATCTTCCCCTTCTAGGGCGTGCTGGGTTATCATCCCGACACACGACGGGAATTCAGTCAAAGATAGCGCTCTACACGGAACGATGAGCTTCCACCACGCGACCATGTCGACGATCACTACCGACGCATGTTTTTCACCAGATAGCAGGATAACAGGAACCAAGACCGGCATGCAAAGCGTGCGGCCGAGCTCTTTCAGCATACGATGGCTCGTGGGTTGACCGTGTAGGCGCAGTCTGATCTTTCTTTTGCTTCGTCTTCCACACGATAGATGGCGCATGGCTCCGAGCATTCTAAAACTCGTCAATTTCCGTAACATCGCTAATGATGCTACAGGATCTGGATCAGAATTTTCTTTAAGACAACTTTTAAGAAACATTCGCTGACTATTTATTGTTTATGATCGCGGTGCTGGTGAAGTAGGCTTTTATCCAGAAGCGAACGTGGATCTGACTGACGTGCTTTCGCACCGCGGATGCATCGCAGCGAAAAGGCAGAGAGCTTTCGGAAGAAAAGAAGATATAAAAAACGTTCGCCTTTCTTTTAAATGTTTAATGGCGATTTTTTTTCCCTGGCTCTATTTTTTTTTTGCTTTGGTTTTCTTTTTACACCTTTTACAATGTATGGTAGATGAAATTCGATTTCAAACTCGTTTTATGGTCCCTTTAAGTGTGCATCCGAAAAGACATTTTACAGAACGTCCATTTATTCAGATATACATCCGTAAAATGGTCATGTGGACAGTCTATCATTTGTACTTCTATGAGACACTTTAATTCATAACCATGGATTTTCAACGTAATTTATTGAAACTTATTTTAATTTTTATTCGTTGCTGTTTTCCTTTTTGTTCTAGTCTTCCCGTCCGTGAAACAGATATGTTAAATGTGCAAGGATTGCCAGCTTAAGAGGCGGATGGTGTATCTCACTATGTCCACACTAATTCAGGCTTCGTAATTCGTTCTACTGCTTACTTATCGGCTAATTCCGCAAGCTTATTGACTGCGGAGCGACGATAGACGATATTGAAGCAGAATTCACTCGAGTCCTAAAACGATTGCTTGCAGTTCATTAGTGTTTCATTTGATTACTTGTTTATTAGATAGCTGAACTAATGAAATTACGGTGTCACAAAGGACCCGAGACGAAAAATAAACAGAACGAAAACAGCAGTTCTGTTTATTTATTTTAGAGCGCAGCTCTTAGGGGCCCATTACGGGCTTGAGCGGCGTCGGCGTGACCGTCTGCGTCGCCGTCGCCGTCGGCGTAATTGCGAGGTCACGTGACCCCCCCCCCCCCAAGGTCACGTAACCTCCCAGATCCCGTGACCCCCCAGGTCACCTGACCTCCCAGGTCAAGTGATTCCCGTGCTCACGTGACCCCCGAGGTCACGTGACCCCTCTGAGGCCACGTGACCCCCTGAGGTCACGTGACGTCCTAAGGTCACGTGACCCTCCTGACGTCACATGACCCCCCTGAAGTCATGTGACCTCAAAGAGTCAGCTATCCCTCAGTACGCTCCCATCCTCCTCCTCAAGAGCTGCGCTCTAACCGGCATGACAGGGAATTCTAAACGGCTTTCATTTTTTTCTTCGTTCCTGAATTTTCACCATGTTAAAGTTTAGAAAGCCGTTTGCCGTTGCTTTATCCTTTCTAAAGAGGAAAATAACACTTAGTTATCGGGTTACTTTCCGGGTCAATATAGCTTGTGTCATCTAGATTTCTTTTTTTTTTTTTCTTATGTAAATGGTATAATAAATGTATACCTATTTTTTCTGACAGTGTAAGAGTTTTTGTGTGAAGTCAACCTTCATCACAAAATAATGCTCATGTTTTGTGATTTTCGTTTCGTCTCTTATTAACTAATTTAAAAAGAATTAAAGCGAATTTCCATCTTTTTATTTGCGACGACAATGCAGGTGCTCGCGGGTTATCTCAGACTCAACGAAGACTTTCCAATGACTCCACGGGCTGTAACTATCGATATCACGAGCCCCAAGAATTCCCATCAAAATATTGTTCCTGTATTTTTTTTTTTTTTTAATTTTTTATATCGGAAGTCTTTACTGATGCACCTTTCCTTCTTTCAGGTGTGTTTACTAGCGTCTCTGCTTTTGGCCTCCGTCGACGCCGGCTACGAGGACCAAGAGGTACAGTTCATTATTCCTCTTTTTTTTTTCTTTTTTTTCTTTTTTGACGTGATGTCCGCAACGTTTAGTCAAATATAATCACTGGCAGAATGAAAACGGCCTCCAGCACGCGCTACATGCCTTCCGCCGTGCTTTGGGTGCACGCGCTCGAGGTCGTTCACACTGGAAAGGGACAACGGAAGCTCCCCTCCCTGCAGCATTTTCACCTTTTTAGTGACTATATGCTGGCTAATTATAAAACACCTGTGACGGCTATGCTTTATACTCCAGGTTGTTCGTTGTCTGCACACAGGTTTACAAAAACTCGCACCCGGGTGGCGTGCTGAGCTGAAAACCGCCTAGAGCACTACAGTGGAGGCTGGCGGCGAGCAGGCTAATCGCGATAAGCAATGATATCGAAGAAATATAGGTTGTCCCAAGTCACCAGGCTCGATCTAGAATGGACCGTAAAAATCGGCGCCTGGACGTAGCCATTTAAACTTCTCGTCAAAGGTGTCTTTCGCAGGTCCGTTTTTTCACGTAAATTTACAAAGCGTAGCTTCCTTTCTTTGAAAAATATGGGTAAGGAACTTGCTATGGTCAACGGCAGGCGACGACGCAGTCGACCAAGTCGAGTGGCGGGGCGCGTTTGGCGCTCGTATTGGTAGATGGCGCTACCTCTCATCGAGTCTGCTCGCGACCAAAGTGGTTTATTAAAATGAACATCATCCTTTTGTAATATTCCTTTGGTTAAAAAATAAATTCTTACAATAAAATAAAGTCTAAAAGTTAACAAGCAAGAAAAACGCGTTTCCATAACGACGGCGCTTTTACTGCCAACGAATTTCGTTTGCGTGTCGTCTGCTTTCTTTCGCTGATCGGCTACACCTTCGAACGCTGCTCCCGGCGCCATCTACCAATACGCACTCCAAACACACCTCGCACTCCAAACACACCTCGCAACTCGACTTGGTCGTCTGCGTCGCCGCCCGCCGTTGAGTCTGGAAAGTTTCTTGGCCCCATTTTTTACAGAAAGGGAGCTGCGCTTTGTGATTTTATAAGAACAAAAACGACCTTTGAAATACACCTTTGACGAAAAGTTTAGATTGGCACGTGAATGGCGTCGATTTTCACGGTCCATTTTAGATCGAGCCTGGTAACTTGGGACACCCTATATATATGAACGACGACCACCCGCGGGAATGAGCTCGAAACCAGTGGGCAGACGACGAACGGGATGACCGGATATAGAAAACGCACGGTAGTCGCGTTCGTTTCATTATAATTATTTCACCATCTCTAAGATTAACTCTAAAATATATATTCATTCAACTTTTATACAACACCAAACAAAACATTTTGAGTGCGGAATTGCAGGTATGTACGTTTCAAACTTGAATTCCACAAGACGCGGGCTAAATTTGCTGGTTCTTGGGACCGCACCTTGTAAGTATGAAAATTTTGTCACGCAATAGCAAAGTACTGACTTTTTTTTTTTTAGTTAAAGGACGTATCGTAAACCAACTAAACGTTTGTTCTCAGAGGGAACGATACAAGATGAGCACGACCAAGTCCCCAAACTCAACTTGGAAAATATTTATGGTTTCATCACGACGGTCCCGTCCACTGCCGTATCGCGGCGCTTGCTCTGCCGAAAAGACGATATATTTAAAGAAAGTATCGCTCGAACGCGTAACCGAAGCGGTAGCTGAGTGATAGAGACAATAAAAAGGCGGGTAGGTTTGCCCGGACCACACCAATGCATAGCGTAATGTGGCCAGGAGATTTAATACCAGCTCCACATCGTGAACAGCGGGATCGGCAGCCGAATGTGTTAGCCCGCCGGAGCTCGGAGCACGTGGAGCAAAAGCTCCCGCCGCTGAAAAGAGAGGAATACGGGCACTGTCGGTACCACGTTTAAGCTGAGACCGGAAGCTCCTCTGCCTTTAGCGCGTGCTCGCTGGCTTCCGCGGTGCTTTGATTGCGCGTGGATGCGCCTTCACACTTGTGTTAGCAAGGGTAGAAAGCTCTCGCTGAAGGCGGAGCTTCTAGTCTCAGCTTAAGTGCGAACAGAGTATGCGGACCGCAAGTTCGACTGCTTCTTTTTTAGAGGTTGTGGTGACGTCAGAACGCCAAGCTGTTATTTGGTTCTGAATGTAAGATAGTGGGTAGACCTCAAGGCAGCTTGCTTTGAGGTCTACCCGCTATCCTTCACTCGGAGCCAATCAGGGCTCGGCGTCTCTCTGACGTCACCGCAACTCTTGGGCAGGAAGCAGACGACTTTCTCTCCGAATAGATTTTTACGCCATCACAGCAGAATCAAGCGCAAACCGCTTATTGGACACGAGCGCTGACGCCGAAGTCCGGCTGGGCGTCGTGTCCAATCGACACGTCAGAGGACGCACGACGTCGGGCTCGGGTCCAAACCGCTGAGTTGGCGTCATCCGACTGTTACTACGTTTCATGGAGAAAGAATACGATGAGAAAGTAGGCATCGATTATTCTAGGATAGTGTCGGTTCAAGCCATCGAGGCAAAAAGCTAAAAGCTGAATGCGTATTTTTCTGCTCGGTATATAATTGTTCTGTTCCGACTCCTGAATGGTGCAAACAAAAAGTTCGCATAAACGGCTATCGAATGATAAAACTGGAACGGATAGATTCGCTCGCCCAAATATAATGTGAGCATAACCACGGCAAACTTTGTTTAGGGAAACTGGTTTGAACTTGACATACTGACGGTGCTCGCTCCTGTATACATTCTCAGACACGTGCAGTAAAATAATAAAGATGGTTGATTAGAATTGTAATGGGCACTAAAGCTTCAACGCTGTAATAAAACACAAAATATAACACTTTTTCTTTCAGGTTTTTTTTTGTTTTGTTTTTAGGTGGCAAATGTTTAAAACAGAAAATGACCCTGAAATTACCGGAATTATTCCTGTAGGGTACCGTTGTCTACTTCGGTGGACGTCAGAGCGCGAGGAGAAAGAAACAATTAGTGACTTAAATAACTAAAATTTGCTAAGTAACGAGGTGGCCAACTGAGCCAGTTGGTTGAGGTATTTGGGAAAATACGTCAATATATGGGGAAAACAGCTTAGAAAACAAGGAATAAGAAAAAGAACAAATACGACAGCATTGTCTTCTCGTGTTTGTTCTTCATCGTAGTATGTGTTTTCTGAGCCCTTTTCCTCATCATGTATATCGCTAACTAGGCACGTAGCCAGAAGGAAAACCCATGCGGCCCGCCCCCCCCCCCCCCCCCATCTCCCCCCCGAACCAAAGTCCTGGTTACATGCCTGCCGCTAACTAACCATTTCAGTATTCTTAGCTGGCATATTCCAATCGGGGTTTTATATATATATATATATATATATATATTCTCGGTAATATAGCCCAGATGGGTTATTAGATTTTATAAACAAATATATGCTTCGAGTTACCACTTCGTGGGAAATTCGTCATGTGATTACTTGAAGACGAAATTGTTTTCTATAATCTAACTACTCATCTGGCCTTCATTAACGACGGCCTACAAATTTCTTATAGAAATATGTCGTATAAAATATAATTAAAATCTTAGTACCGAATTTTAGGTAATTGCTAAGTATTTCTGCATACCCTCGCCCTGGCGTCCGTTGCCGAAGATAACGTTATTCTGCAGGAATATTTACTTTTTAATTCCAGACTCCTTTTCGTTTTGAATAATTGCCGTCTTAGAAGAAAAAAAAATACCCTGTATCTGTATATTTAATTTTATAAAACAGGTTGCATTTGTAACGCTGAGACGTGTCCCCATTTACGAAATTCTCATACCTCAATTAGCTTTTATTAGTTTTTGTTTTTGCATTTTGTAATGCATACGTGCGTTTCAGCAGTAATTATAAGAGCAGCGGGGAAAACGAACGACTTGAAAACGTAAAATCCTATGTTCTGGCGCAGCCCGAGCAAAGCAAGAATTGCGAGAGCGTGCGCCCCCCGTTCTCCTGCGGTTGGCGGACAACCTTCGTGCGGAGAGACCTTGTCCAAGGAGAGACATATACCTAAACGTTTGCCCGAGCTTATCCGACTCGAAAATCGGAGAGCGAGCACATTGCACGCGCGGCATAATTTATTCCTGGTTTACTCCTTTGCTTCGCTTTTTTCTTCTTTTTTTTTTTTTTTTTTTGCGTGTATAGGCCATATGTTTTCGCGCGCTCGGATAGACTGGTCTCAATCGTTTCCTGATTACAATTTGTTTTCTTGTTTGAGGTCGCTGCTTACGAGAAACGTGTCAATGAGCGCTTACGAATCTCCCAGAGAAGACGATTACTGTGTGTTCTTGGTTCTCCACTAAGTTGACAGTGCGGTGGAAGTTACTTGTTCGTTGGACGAGCCATTAAGTTATTTTTTGTTGGTCCGTGAAACAACCAGAATCACGGACCTCGAGAAATTGCGTTTTATCAAATAAAAAAAAAGAAAGGATGCCGCGCATGTTTGCAAACGATCTATATCTTTCGCACGCAGAAATCCTGTTCAGAAACTATAGTACTCTCAATATTAATAACGTTTTTGTTTGCAAGCTATCCATGAGAACCGAACATCATGTACCAGATTTTTCTCGTGTAATCTGCGGCAGCATCTAGTAACCTACCAAGTTTCATATCTAGACTATTGACAAGTTTCGAGGTTTCGATTGAACACCGGAAACGAAATGTTGACCTACAGTAGCCTTCCGAATTTCTTTTATCCTAGCGATATTCACATGGACACGTTGAACCTTCCGGGGTTACGTGTCATCTTATGTACATTTTTCTTTACGATAGGTTGTTCTGATTAACTATATTGTTTGAGTCGGTTACTGTGCATTTTTCTTTCTTTTTCCGTTTTCTTTTTTTTTTATTTCTTTTTAATTTTCGTTCTTGCGAAGCGCTGGATAGTTATTATATTATGCCTACTTCGCATTCACTTTCCTTTTGAGCTGCTGCTACAGAATGTATGAAGGCCGAGAGCTCGTCAAATCGTCTAATGCGGCTCTATT